TTATTTTATACCATCCATTTGCTAGATCTAAAAAAACCTGCCAGAAAAAAAAAGTTACATGATTAGTAATTGCAGTAGGGTAATGCAATCTAGATCCAACTATGAAAAGCAAGTCTACTCACTCATAAGCTCCAAATGCTGAATCTATTTTGCTATTTTTTCTGGTGAAATTAACCCCCCTTATAATCGATGATCACTTAAGATAGATTTAGATCTGACGATCTCAGAGATGCAGAGATTCTGAATTTCCGCGACATATGAATTTCGGTAAAACTACTGATTAAGAATGTTATACACATTGCCCTTATAGCCTTTTTAAGTCCTTTTCTTATCGCAGGATCATATAAACTAAGAAAAAGGGTCTAGATGCTCTTCATATTAGTGCTACTTATTAACTTAATAAAAATTTGACTGTGAGAAATGATTCTGCAGGAGAGTGACACCACATAAAATTTAATGCAGGTCATTGACTATTAAAGCTGATCAAGTTTTTATTGCTATTTTAGCTTCGATCTCTTTTTTTCGAATGAAATGAGAAAAAAAGAAAATTTTGTCAGATCAAACATTTGAAAAAAAAGATGGATGATTAGATTTCTTTTTTTCGAACCTGCAAGAAAAAAAAAAAAAGAGGGCCAAAATAAAAGCAGACCTGCGGGACCATTAAATCATATGATATGACATAATACGTACTTATTTTTTCTAGCATAGATCAAAATAAATTAGTAAAAAAATAAGAAAGTGCATAGCGCTTATTCTAAATTTGTAAATCGGGCTTAAATATATACATAGCATGTAAAATTATTACCTGTACACCTTTCAGTAAGTTAATAGATTTGCTGTGTCCAATAATTGTTTTTACTGTAGAAATTATCATGCTACGTTAAGATGTCAAATAAAAAATATTAGTTGACTTGTATTTAATTATTGCATACTACTTCGTGCCAGATTATTATATTATATACTGAACTAATAAAAATAAGCCTTAATTTATAATTAAAGGGTCCAGTACAAAGTTCTGTTCCGAATTCGGATGAAAAAAGCAGTTGATAGAACGTGGTTGCATTAAAAAAGCGCACATATGTATTTACAAGTATTTTTGAAAACAAACCTGCCCCTCGAATATTCATGGCCTAGTATATACACTTATTTTAAATTTGTAAATAGCTGAAGTGGAAATCCAGTCCCAAAACAGGGCTGAAACGACATATAGTAAATACAGGCCATCCAAAATGTTATTTCTGATCTATCTAAATTAAAAGTAATATATATATTAAAAAACAATAGCTAATAGAATTTTCTTAATTTACTATTGTCCTTTGATCACAATAATTATGTATCAAAAATGACACTTTGGATGGCCGGTATTTACTATATGTCATTTCAGCCCTGTTCCAAAAATCATGATGCATGTTGATCAAAAGCTTTTTGTTATCAGGTAAAACCATCCCTTGAAAACAAACATATTGTCATTAATAATACACTCTGCATCAAATTTATACACAGCCCAAAACTAGATATTGATATATATAACCGCATAATAAATAGTGCTAATTTAGATTATATAAATTTCTTTAGAGCAATTTTTTATCAATATTCTACCTTGCCTTCATATCGATAAAACGATCACTCAAGTTATTTGCATGGGTTCATGGAATTCAACAGAGCCATAATAGTCCTGTGCTTTAACGAAGGTAATTTGTCTGATCCGTGAAAATATACAATCTAACCGTATTTAATATATAGTCTTCTCAGGTGTAGTTATAGCCTTTCGAGGCAGGCCTAGGATCTGACTATTACCTCCTTGCATTTTTTTTTTATTATAATGACACTCCTTTGAGGATGTAATTGTCAACTATCATTGTCTATGTAGTAAGAAAAGGAAGACCGAACGAGCTTCCTGTGGTTTAGTCCACTGAACTACAAGATAAAAAATAGTTTGAATGTATCCACCTTACTATAGTTTTTCTCTGATAGTCATGCAAAAAATTTCATCTATAACTTTAGGCGATAGGGCCTTTGACTTTGTTTTTTTATATTTATAAAAACACTATGAAGGCACAATCATCAGACTATAATTGTCTATGTAGCGAGGAGAGGATGACCTGATAAGCTTCCCATGGTTAGTTCACTGAGCTACATGATGAGAATAGTTTGAAAATATCCACTTCGAAATCCTCGAAATTTACATAAATACATATACTATTCATATTTTAATTCAGTTATACGACAAGAAGCTTTGAATCTCCCTAACTCGGTCAGTAAAAAAACGAAAATGACTAGTTGTTCACCGTTTTTCTAATGTTATTCTTGAGATCACAATTGAGTGATCAGTGTGAACAATTTGTTTACATGTATGTGAACATATTTTATATTAATTTTTTATCTACTTCCAACACAGGTAGAAAAATGTTGATGTAAAATAAAAATCTATGAAGTATATGTTTCCTTCTCTCTTGAATAAAAATAAATCTGATATTTTATTATCATATACTTGTTACAAATCACTATAAGTTATTAAAATCACTATAAATCAATAAAATCAGTGAAATTGCTATAAATTGCTAAATATGCCCAGTAACATAGTTAAAATAATAATAGATAATATCTATAATAAAAGAGTACCTAAACCTAGCAATCTTCATCTCAGATATGATATGGAACATGTTTTTAAGTATCAACCTCAAACTGATAACTATCGGTATGAAAAAGTGGTTAAAATAGAAAAAGAATATGATTATTTATCTATTATTAGACCTCATGAAACACCACAGCAATGGGCTAATTGTGTAAGAGGTCCTTTACAAGAACTGCTTTCTAAGCGAGAATATAATGTTTATCATGTATTCTGCCTCTTCGCCTCATTTGGAGAAGGAATAACCAAGGTGTATTACAGCCATGTCAATAGTGAGTTAATAGATATTCCATATGAATATCACAGGCCTAGAGTTCACAAGAGTGAAATGGCTATTTGTTTCGATTGCTAGAAATTGGTAAAGATCACTGAAATAAAACCGAAAAAATTATATTTTGATGGATATTGCAGATGGGGCTATGAAGTTGAGTCTAAAGATTTGATGAAAAATCATTGGAATTACTCTTGCTTCGAAGCTAAAACTGAAGAGATCCCTTTGGAACCAAATAAATCATATTCGTTAACTAGTTCCAAGATAACCACTCCTTCAATGCAATGTAGTGTAAGTGTGCCCAGCTTAATTAATACCAATAGACCCAGGGAGGGAAATACAAAGAAATTATTTATCTCGTCTCTGTTTGCAAAACAAATTAATTTACTACTATCTCATCTTAATCTACCAAAAGATACTGCATTAAGATACTGCATTAAGATACTGCATTAAGATTGAGAGATGGGACAGAAATTACGATTGTTTAACTAATTTGACTGATCGATTCTAATATCGATAATATTAATATATTTTTTTTATCTACTTTCAATACAGGTAGAAAAATGTCGATGTGAAATAAAAATCTATAAAGTATATATATATTTATTTTTATGATTTTCGGGCTTAAGCCTATAATATAATTAAGTGCTTTGGAAGTTTGTGAACAAACAAATCATCTCGGTTGATCTACAATTTGACTAATTCTATTCATTAGCTGGGGCACTTTTTTTCTTGCGCCTCTGCCTTGCCTCTATTTCCTTTTGCAGGTTTAATGGTGTATCGAATCTTAGCCGAATTGCTAAAGGAACATCCTCTGGCCTATTGAAATCAAATACAACAAACTTATATTTACGGAGGTAGCTATTAATAACTATGGATGTGCTCTTTATATCATCAGTATATTGGTTAGCTATCTTGGACATGTCTTGATAACTGTTTCTCCTATTATATATTACTAAAAGGGAGATATTCTCACGAATAATAATTGGTACATGATGATATTTCTGAGTAATATAGCATGGAGAAATATTATGATGTTGCCCATATGTAAAAAATAGTATAATGCGATTTTGGATAGACTCGGGAGCAACACATACATCCTCAAAAATGATTACAGTGCTTCTCTCAAGTGAAAATGATTTCACACTAGGAATTTGTTCTAGTGATATGTAACTGAATCTAATGTTCTCATAATAGGATGCTTTGAGATTACTTGCTATTATTTTATACATATATTTAACGAATGCCCATTTCGGCTCATCAGGATAGTAACCACAAACTATCAAATTATTGCATCTAATATATCTGGATCCTCTTTTTTGTCTTTTATATATATGTTTACATTTATCTCCAAGAACAAGATTTGCTAGTAAATTGGTCTTACCTGTATCACTTCTTCCGCTGACTATCATGCTGAAAGGCCATGTCATTGCTAGATGTCCAACATTTCGGGATGATTCGTGCTTTGTAGCCTCATCTATATCCATAAGGTAAAGTTTCATAGGTGGTAGTTCTTTTTTTTGGTTCTTTTGTATGACAGATTGGGAATCTATAACTCTGATTTTTATTTAATGGTATTTTATAATTCGGAATATTTTTTTCTTTATTATGGGACAAAATAAAAGAATATAGATAAGAGGATATACGCCATAGAAAGTATATAATTAGTAATATTATTATTATAATAAAGACCGCATTCTGCTGAAAGAAGGAATTGAGAGATACTGAGATTATTTCGAGGCTAGTGATTTCGTTACCTTTCTCTGGTCCGCTATCACCTCCAATCACTTCATTAAACTCACTGGATGCTTTTGAAATCTGCTCTGCTAAATGAGTATTAGTTTCTTGAGGAAGGAACTCTTTTTCCAAAGAGTTCTCAGCGAGTCTGGATCTGCTTCAGCTCCACCTATTATGTTCGGTTTGTGGGATGACTGGGATATTTGTTGTTCTAACTGATCTTCCAATTCTCTCACTCTAGACCTGAGACAGCTAATTAACCCATATCTACATATTAGACCTTTTTCTACTTTCTCTAGCTTGTTTACTTTAGCTCCAAGAGAGGTGATTTCAGAATCCTTATGCCCTACCTCAGTTTCTAATTCATGTTTCTTTGAATTTAAATCATCCTTTTTCTGCTCCAATATACGATTAAGGGAATTTAATTCACTTATTTTATCCCTAAATGAAGTGGTATCTGAATCATGAGATGTGCATTCTAATTCCATCTCTAATTCCAATTCTTCTACTTCGGCTTTCAGTTTATCTATTTCACCTTTAAGACAAAGAATCTCATCCTTGTCAAGGGACGAAGCTTTCTGGGCGAGGGTCACTTTTCTCTTTAGTGTTTTAATCTCAGATTTAAGCGATTGGATTTCAGTATGGGATGCCTGTTCAGAAGATCTAAGCCTAGTATTGGATGCATTTAGTTGGCTAATTTTTTTTCTAGTATCAGCTTGAACTAGCTCAAGTTCCTTTTCTTGCTTTAAATATACATCTTGCAGGTCTTTATATTCATTAGCAAGATCAGAAGCAGATTTGATACTACTATGCAATGCATTTTCAAGTTCTGATTCACAAATACTACCTAGCTGATACCCGACCCCTTTAGGATTTCTTCTATCTTTTATATCATTTAATATATACACATTGGACATAATCTTGGCATGCTTACAAAGCAGGAAAAAAAAATATGATTTATTTTTTTTTTTCTTGATGATTTCTGAGATGGCCCTGTCCTGGAAATTTTGAAAGTACTTTATTTTTTTATGAATACTACTGATATTACGATACTATTTATAGTATCCATATTACCACTAATATTACTAGCATAGTACTGATACTACTGTTTTACCAATACTAATACTACTGATACTACCATAATACCAATACTACCATAATACTGATACTACCATGGTATCAATATTTTTTTGTATATTTTTTATTTGTAATATAAAAAAAATCTCTTAGCGATTAGCTATTAATATGAACAA